CCTTCGCAGATGACAGATTAGGCAAATATTGGTCGGTCACAAGTAGAAAAAATTCCGTCAAATGATGCAAGCACACTGGCTAGAACACTGGTATAGAACCAGAACGTCGGCAGAACGTACTGCGCCTGCGCAGAACCCCGTATTTTCGCGTTTTTCGTTGGGTTTTTGGTCAACGTTGCATCCGAATTTTGCCTGTTGCAGAGGATATTCTTTCCGACATAACATTTGGAAACTACTGTCGAAATGCTAACCTTATATGAGCGAATACAACCTTATATGAGACATTCTGCTGAAATGCTATGTACAATACATTACGGGTTTCGCGCAGGTGCAGTACGTTCTGCCGACATGCTTATAGAACCCAAGACTGATGGACTAAGTCTTGGTTAGTCTTCATTGTCAGAGAAGTAATCATCTCCCTCATCTGAGTCCACGTCTTCCAGAGGCTGTGCCGTCAGAAGCTTGGAGAAGTCGATGTTGGGAAGCTTCGTCTTTTTCCCCACCTGCTGACTACCTCCCAGTGTCTGAAATCAAGCCATTTTATCTTTAGCATGCAATTTTACATGTTGAACATAACTGACAGTGTTCTATTCAGACTTTTATTCATTTCAAAATGCTGGGTGTTTCTTTCCTATATTCCCGATAGATTTTTTTCAGGTCTATCAAAATTCATCGGGTTTAGGAGGCATGTGCCTCATATCTTCCGGATGCATCTACTACTGTGTAGAAATTTCCCTCTACCATAAGCACATGCTATGCATTTTGTTGTATGTCTAGAGAAGACCTCAGGCTAAACTCCAATCTTGTAAAACTATGTAGCTTTTTAACCAACATGCAATTTTGCATGTAACAAAAAAAAAGGAATGTCGAGCCCTGATAACTCACCTTCTGAACAGCGGTCAGACCTCTCCCTTTCTTTGCCTTTTGCTGCTTGAAGACGTATTTATCCAGATTTGACCTGCATAAATAAACTGCACTCAGTACAAAACATCATGATCACTCCAACATTGCTAACAGTAACACTGCATACATCAGTACTTAGGCCACACCAATTTAACTTCTTGGTTATCGGATTCGCCCGCTTCGTTTTTTTCTGATTTGAAAATAAAAATTCAGAATCAACTGCAAAATGCTCATATTTTGCCCTGAACAGTTGAAAACAGTCTTTCATTCCTAGTTGTTACTGTACAGTTATCCCATCTTTCAATGTAATGGTATCATTAAAAGTTCAAAATTCATTTGTTTAAATTTTGAACCAGCCTGGTGTGTTGACTTCATGTCTCCTATCGTACCATTTTGGGCCATAATAGGATGCCTAGGCCTGTTTTTATTTTTATTTCGCCCGCCCGCTCCATTATTTTTCTAGAAAAATCCGTTAACCAAGAAATTAAATTGGTGTGGCCTTAGACAGATTTGACTGGACATACTTCTGCCTTTCCTCGCTGATGATGCCAGGTGTCCTGAAGCCCTTGGGAGTGGGTCCTGCGGTGGCTGCAGAGCTGTGTCCGTACAGACGGCTCATCGGGGTCTGGAAGGCCTGTCTGGCAGACACGTCCGTACAAACATCATCGTCCTCGTCTGCATTGTAGTCTATGGAGATCAGCCCCTGTGCACAACATGGGAGAGTGGACGGCATCAGAAAAGGTTGTATAAAAAACGTCAGCAGAATGTATTGTACCTGTGGGGTCGTGTGGCGCAGCGGTAGCGCTTTCGGCTCAGGACCTAGAGGTCCTGGGTTCGATCCCCACCCATGTCACCGATCTTGTGCCCTTGGGAAAGGCACTTTACACAACTTTCCTCACTTCACTCAGGTGTAAATGAGTACCTAGCCTCGGTTAAGGACGTCCCTCGGATAGGACGTTAAATGGAGGTCCCGTGTTTGGGGAGAGCCATACCTCGAGCACGTAAAAGAACCCACCACACCTTTCGAAAAAGAGTAGGGGCATGCCCTGGTGTGCGATGGTACAAAAACTAATACTGCCCGGGAGTTGGTGATTCACTACAAATCACCCGGATGGAGGCCTGGTGAACCCCATCTCATACTAGCCACAAAAGGCAGCAGAATCTTCAGCTAGTTGAAGGCGGCTGCCTCAAATGAAAGAAGTAGAAGAAGACCTGTGAAAATACCCATAATGTATTGTGCGTAGCACTTCGGATGAACGTCTCATATACATGTAAGGTTGGTTAACATCCCATCAGTAGTTGCCAAATGTTATGTCGGAGAAGATATCGTCTGCAACAGGCAAATTCTGATGCAACATTGACCAACATCCAACGAAAACCGTAAAAAATTTCTAGTTTTTTTTTTCCAAAATCAGGCAAGAATTAATGCGCGTGCTAATGTCATCCATAAAAATTACTTGCTGTGGCCATACTTTGATTTCAAAAACTACCAGCGACATCTTCTACCTTACTGATCTTCCTCTGCTTCTTGAAGGGAGTGATGCCATCTTCAAAAGCTTCGTCTTCGTGCCCCTCGTTGTACTGTTTTATCAACTCTTGTAGCTGTCTCTTCCTCTTCAGCGTGCCAGCCTTCCCAGTCAGGGCCACGGGTTTCTTAGGATCTACGTACAAAATAAAAAAAACATGACTTCCGTGACTTTCGTCTTCCCAAGACCTACCAACATACCAAATATCAACACTATCCAACTAGATCAGTATTCTATCTACATGTAGTACCCTCCGCAAAATTTTTTTGTCATTTAAATTTTGTTTGATACCTTTGTTTGGACAATTTGACTCTTGACTCTCTGAAGAGCTACATGTAGGTTTTGCATTTTAAGTTTCTAGGAAAAAATGATGTGTTTCCTGTTTCAGTCCGGAAAAAATTAGGGTCAGTATCTAGGTAGGGATTTTCTTTTTTTTTTTTTAGACTTCAGTGATATCTATAACAAAAACAATAATATTGTGTGCACCAGCAAAAATCCAGGCTCGCCACCAGAGAAATATTGTCCTATGCACGTAATTTGGTTAATGTTCCCCACTACATGTAAGTTCAGCAAGAAAAAATACATGATACAAACTGTACAGTCATGCATTTTCTACCTGGAACTTGGAGCAAGTAAACCTAATGAATTACTGTCATTATCATAATCTAAATCTAAGCTACGAGTATCTACCCAATCATATTTTCTTAAGCATAATTTCTCAACCAAATCACGGCTAAAACAAAAGAAAATGTTTTCAACCAGCACAGTGGTATTGCCAGTTGATTATTTACAGTTAGATCAGCGTATATAATTAGTACTGGACCCTAGGATCATAATCCACAGGGAAAAAAACAACTTACAAATCAAAGAACCTCTTGTTGGTCTTAATTTTTTATTGGCGCACCGTGCGACCATAATTTCAAATATGGTCGCACGGTGGCGCATGTGCAAGCAAACCAGTCGCAGTCACGATCCCTGGAGATTCTAATAAGGCCACAGCATGTAAATTTTATGGATGACATCCTCCACAGATTCCAAATCTAATGCGAGCGGGCGAAAAAAAACAAGGCGGGCCGAAAAAAATAAGGTTCCTACAATTTGAAATTTTGACTCAATCATTGTACAATGGTTTTGATTCAGTAGGAACATCACATATTCACAGCCAGCATCACATATCACTGCATCAAAGTAAGAAACAAAACATTAAATAAGAGCCTTTTCTTGTCTCGATCTCTCACATAGTTATCTGCCATCCACCTTCTGGCATGGCAACAGACATCTTTGCCCATTTCGGCATGTTGACCACTGTCATAAGGCAACAAAATTTCTTGTTTTTTTTTTCCAAAATCAGGCGAAAATTAATGCGCGCGCTGATGTCATCCATAAAAATTACTTGCTGTGGCCTAAAGAAAACAAACAAACATTTACACACCTTTCCCTGCGTTGCTGGCATCTTCCTTGTCCTTGTTGGCAGCTGTGTGGTTGGATGTAGAAGTCATGTGCTGGTACCTGTCCTGACAGTCCTGTGCCGTGTGTGATCCCACCACCTCAGCTACCTTCTGCCACAGACACTCATCCTCACCAGATATGCTGCTCAGGGCACTACCAGGAGAACATGGGAATTGACCTTCATTTCAACACTTAGACCACACCAATTTTGCCAAAAAGCAGTTACTCAAGCAGCTGGATATGATTTTGAGTTGCTTGAGTAACTGCTTTTTGGCGTATCGTATTACCTGGATGTCTAACCTTCATCGACAGACCAATTTCATTTGTTGGTTCTTGGATTTTTTCAGAAAAAATATGAAGCGACAGGGCGAAAAAAAAATAAAAACTAGACATCCTATCATAGCCCCAATTTCTTAGTAACGATAAGAGCCATGAAGTCAACATGAAAGGTTGGGTTAATATTTAAACAATGAATTTCTAACTCTTAATCTAACTACTAACTGCATTGATAAATGGATAAACAGTAACAACTACAGGAAGGAAAGGACTTTCCTGAATTGTTGGGGGCAAAATATGAGGATTTTTTAGTTGATTCGGAACCAGAACTTTTTTTGTTTGCAAATCAGAAAAAAATAAAGAGGCGAATCCATGAACCAACAAATTAAATTGGTGTGGCCTTAGGAAGTAAAAGTTATGGATGACATCCTCTGCAGACTCCAAATATAATGTGATAGAGCAAAAAAAAAAGGCAGGCCAAAAAAACAAGGTTCCTACATTTTCGAATTTTGACATTTATAAACCTTGTTTAACAAGAAATGATACCTACATTTTGCTATGTTTACTGCCAACTATTACAAGATTCTAGCCTGGGTTCCATCCTGGTTAGTTTACGTCCGCTCCTACAGTCGTTGGTGGTAGCGACTGTAGGAGCGGACGTAAACTAACCAGGATGGAACCCAGGCTAACAAGATTCATTTGTCACTGAAAAGTAAAGTTTTTAATTGGGTTGCCTACAGTGTATTTAACACTGGTCGCATCAATTTTGGAAAGTCACAAGGCATTTGGAAACTCAAGTAAAAATTGATTTTCAACATTCAAGTTTCACATCAGTGTGTAGCTCTTGGTGTAATGAGCACAGTGATATGAAAATTATTGTTCTGCAGTGTTCATAACTTAAGATATCATTAATAATAAATACAAGCAGACCGGTGGTCTTTCCTAACAGCCCGTCAGGCCTAACAACTAGCCCGCAAGTTTTAATTACAGGACCTTCGGTCTAAAGGCACTAGACTACAGGTGTAGAATCCCAGCCCGCGGGCTGATTTACTCAAAAACCATTCAGACCGTCAGCCTAACTTCAGCCCGCGGTCTGGAATTTCTGGTCAAAGAGGTGCAAGAAGCCCAAAACAATGGCATGGAAGGCGTGAATTGATTGATGTTTGCAGACTGTCTGTGCCAATTTCAGCCTGGTGGGGTAAGGATTCAGACCTCACGGACTACATCTCAGCCCGCGGTCTGATCCAAGTGATGTGTAAAACTTCATTCTCAGAGCAGAAAATAAGGAAGGAGAGCATAATCCACACCCATCTGTTAACAGTGTTGTACATTTTTGCCGCTTTCAACCTCATTCACTCACTCAATCACTCAGCTTCGCATGCTCTTTCCACTACATGTAGACCACAAAAAAGAAAGAAGAGCTTACAAACACGTTCTGTACCAGCTAGGGGTAGAAAATGAAACAATTTTTTCTCATGAGCATCCTGAATGTCATTGAAGTTCAGTTCAGTTCAGTTGAAACATTGGGAAAATTATGTTACAGACAGTTTTGCCAGACAAAATTCTAGTACTATATAATATGAGCAAGAAGCCTAATACATGCATTGCAACTTAAACCTGCTTTCAAGCAATGGAGTTATAAAATCCTCAGTCCATTTCTGTTCAACCATGGTTCAACAGTTCTCAGGTAATTATTCTGATCAAGGAACAATTGTTATGCGGGATGAAACTAAGTTTAGCTATTGTTCTTGACATGCAAATGCCACTGTCCAATTATCAAGTTGGACTATTGTTGAGTTACACGTCGAATTACAGTACCCCTATCTGGGCAGCTTGTACTGGGTCACCCAGTAGGAGCCTGAAAAGATGACAGACTATCTTAAAAAATAAAACTAGGATTCTCATCATTAATTTCTTGTTCATAATCTAAAATCTAATCTAATCATAATACTACAAACTAGTTGAGGGATAGAAAGATTTGGCCAAGACATGGTTCTCAACGTGTGAACCCAGGCCATCTGACACTGTCATTATATACAATGTCATAAGGTTTTCTGATTGGATATTTTTTCGGGCTATTGAGCTACCCAGTGCAAGCTGCAAAGACCATGTCACCCATGTCTGGGTACTAGTAGCCCGACCAGACTCTCTAATTTGATAATTGGACAGGTATGAATGATAACATGCATGGAAATTAATTTTGAAAATTTTCTTCCTGCAGGAAATTTCTGCAGGAAAAACCTACTAAGACATTGTAGATTCCTGCAGATAGAATCCTTCCTAGAAATTTCGGCAGGAATGACTGTATAATAAATATATACAACTGTTAGGCCACACCAATATACATGTAATGTAGTCTCCACCAGACTCCTTTGCAGGCTAAATAAATAGTAGCAATCGGCTAAGGCATGGAGGTAGCTCCAATGGCTAAGGGGAACATCACTGGCCAGAGGAGTTGGCCGGCCATAGAGACTAAATATAATGTCATTACTTGTTTCTCAGACTCATTCACTTGAAGAAGAATCCTGTTCTATAAAATTACAACATTACATCAATATTCTCTCAAGGTCACCTTAGTAATTGATCAATGATCATCTGATTTTTTGTATGTCATGACAATTCATGCCGTCTGATAACTCAATGAATGCTTTTGCTTCGGAAGCAAAAGCATCCCCTTTCTGCAGTTGTAAACACGTGTAACATTGATCAGATTCTGACTGGAGACTAACTTCAAGTTGTTGCTTGGAAGTTAGAACTTGTTAATTTTATCATAATCACCTCCCCTCCCCTTTTGTCACCCATTTTTATAGAAACTGTGTTCTTTGTGTCTAGGGGATAACAAGCCTTTACAATGTAATTCATAGGCTTATTGAGGGATGTCTATTATCACTCTATGGTGACATTTCCTTGGGCAAACGTTGGCCCTCCAGGAGCCAAGGAGCTAGCCTGGCAGCAGTCTGGTACCCATGTAACAGTGGGGGGGTTATAGGCGCTACAGCTCGCCTCTGTTTCTTACACCCAGGCTACCTGGTCTGCTATCATAGTTCATACATGTACATCCTGCGCTGTACAAGCATTTTACGTTCTGTTCCTAAATTTTTGGGAAATATCCAAACTGAATGAACAGCTCTTTTCATTATATATATAACCTATTTGAGATGTTTCACAAATATTGTAACAATTAGAAAATTTTCTACTTTTTTCAATCATACTTTGAAATTATCTAGAAACATTGTGTTTTTTTCGAAATGGTTACAATTTGTAATGTGGAATATAGCAATATAGAATTGACTCTAGGCCTTGGGCAAGCACTTCCAATTAAATTGTAATTTAGACTTATTACAAATCCTGTAAAGATTCTCATCATTAATTTTTTGTTCATAATCTAAATCTAATCTAATCATGACACTACAAACTAGTTGTGGGATAGAAAGATTTGGCCAAGACATGGTTCTCAGTGTGTGAACCCAGGCCATCTGACACTGTCATTACAATGTCATGAGATTTTCTGATAGGATATTTTTTCGGGCAAGGACATTATCTCTGTTTCGGGCTATTGAGCCAGTGCCAGTGCACCCATGTCAGGGTAGCCCGACCAGACTCTCTAATTTGATAATTGGACAGTGGTCATTTGCATGCCTGGAACAATAGGTGACCTGAGGTATGACCCGCATGACAAAGGTGCAGGAACAGAATAATTACAAAAGAAAATGTAACATGAATTTCCTAAAGCATTGTACAACTCCTTGCACTGAAAGCAAGTTCATGTTGCAAATTGAGGATCGATTCCTTGCTTTTTATGTTTTCAGTGTACATCGGCTGAGACTTATACATGGCAGGATTATGGCACTAAAACTCCAAATGTTTTCCTTTTGATTTAAATGTTTCCATGGAGTTATTGTTTATCTGTTAACCATGTCCATTCATCTTGTTTTGTTGTGACCTGTACTTAGCCAAGTCTTCATTCTTTAAAAAAAAGATAAATTTCTACCCCCATGATGTTTCAAAGGGATTTGGCCAGGGGAGTTGCCCATCCATAGTAGGACAGATTGGACTATACCTGCCAAACAGAAACTGTAAGTGACCATGAAGTGTCCTCAAAAGTTGGCTTCCAACACCACAACCAATCAGGTCTAATATGAAGTGTTCTTGCTGAGACAAGGGTCTTTTATGATGCTATCTGATCTTTTTTAGTCATAACCGTTACACAAATGTTACACCCCGCCCAGGTATCAGCAGGAGCAAAATCCACCTCCTCAAACATGTTCAAAAAGCTTTCTACTAGAAAGAGACTTTTTGCAGTCTTAATAGCAGAACAATTCTTCCCATGTACAGGAAAAATTCTTCCAGTAGAAATTTCTGAAGCTTTTGCAGAAAATGTTCAAAATGAATATTCATGAAAGTTATCATCATTCATACCTGTACATAATACTTGTCAATAATATGTAATCACTTATTGAAAATATTAGCTGAAAATGTGAAGGGTGTTTATTAATATGAAGTGATATGAAGTGAAGTGTAAACCATCATCAATCTGGAAGCATCAATTTGGAAGCATATTTTTGTTTCCCACTTTCTGTTTGGTGTTTAAAGTCTGAAGGTTCTCTATCATAAGGCCTAATCATCAGCCCAGCCTGTCCACAGACCGACAGGCCTGTTCAGGCCCGCGGGCTAACCATTGAGCCCAGACCTCTCATGAATTTATCACAAACTTGTTAATTACACAGGTGTGAAAATGTGAATTCTCATTAATTCAGTGGTTTTCATGGGGTGTTCATGAGGCTAATTGGATGCGGTCTGGATGCGGGCTGGCTAACTCAGGCCGCGGGCTAAAGTTTAGGACTGCCGGGCTAAGCTGCTGGGCATGACGGTGTGTGTTCTAGACCGCCAGGCTTGCAATTTTTAAAGTCAAATATCTTGATAAATTTGTACATTCTGACCATAAAAAAAGCAACCTGGTACTGAAGATAGCATGATCTTTCCAATGGCATGCAAAAGTTCACTGTACATCCAGGAATAACAAAGTTGAAAATCAGGGGTTTCAACATAGCTGTCTCAAAATTCGGAAAGTGACATTCCAAAATTGAGGTGACCAGTGTTATTTGTATTGTCCTATAAATGTTACATAATGGAGACTTATGGAACAAAACAGGCACAAATGTTTACCTGTAGAGCTTCTTCTCTTCTTCCAGGGTCCACGATGTCTCAGTACCATTTTTACTCTGTTCCCTTGCCTGCCTTTCTTTGGAGTTTTCAGGTGAACTTTTGTTCTTGGCCTTCTTTCTTTGACACTTCCGTGCATCCTGGTCACTTTCACACTTATCCTTATTATCTTCATCAACTTGCACAGTAGGCCTTGCTCCTCCTTCCTCTGTCTTCTTGTTATTAGCTTTCCTCTTTCTTTGGTAACGTCTTCTTCCTTTGTTTTCAGTTTCAGGAGCTTTTCCAGCAACAACTTCCTGGGAGTCCTTTTCCGGTTCAGTATCACTTGGCGTACCTTCAGCTTGTTCTTTCTTCCCCTTGCTTTTGCCATTTTGCTGACCTTTCCTGTTACCTCTTCGTTGCTCAGTTGGTTCCTCCTTTTTCTCATCAGGTTTGCAGGCAGTAGTATCTTTAACCCTGGGTGACTTGCGAGGAGGGACTGGCGTTAGTTCTGCTTGTTCTTTTCTCCCGTTGCTGTTGAGAGAAGTTGCAGACGTTTTGACGTTCTGCCGACCTTTCCTCTTAGTGCCTCTTTGCTGCTCTGCGGGTTCCTCCTTTTTTTCTTCAATCTCGCAAGCAGCAGCATCTTGAAGCCTGAGTGACTTTCGAGGTGTGACTGTGTTTAGTTTGCCAGCAAGGGACTGTGCTCGTTTCCGGCCACGGCCTCTCCGGGACCCTCCCCTCTTCTCTGCTTCCTTGGCCTGATTTTCGCCCTCTTCATGGAGACTGTTACATCTGCTTGGTACTTTTGGCTCGGTGTTCTCCGGCTGTTCTGTGTTGGTGGTTTCTCTCTTCTTAGCTGGTCTCCCTCTTTTCCTGGTCGTGTTACTGGATGTCTGTACATCGCTGACTGAATGTCTGCTTGGTACTTTTGGCTCGGTGTTCTCCAGCTGTTCTGTGTTGGCGGTTTCTCTCTTCTGGGCTGGCCTCCCTCTTTTTCTGGTCGTGTTACCGGCTGTCTGTACATCGCTGACTGAGTCCTCTTTCTTTTGTCTTCCCCCCCTCCTTCTTCCTTTTTCAACCTGTTTCCCTGTAGAGGGTTGTTGTTCGATGCTTGTATTGCTGTATGGCTCACCACTACTCTGTTTGCTTTCAGCGGTCTTTGTTTTCTTTTCGTCGTCTGATTGCCCAGGAGGTTTCTGCCGAGCAGACTGGCGAGTCCCACGAGCTGGTGTCCAGTCTGTATCCTCCTCCATACTTTCGCAATTCTATGTTCAAGAGAATGAAACATAATCTACATTTTGTATTCGTCACAACAAAATATATGCTTATACAGTTTTGTTTTGTTTTGTTTTTTTTAAGAAAAATTTACGAGGAAACAGCAAAGCAAGAGAGTGGAGTAACATGCAGGGCCTGAAGTACAAATGTATTAAGTGTGCTTATAAGAAATGGCTGCCGCAGTAAATGTCATTATCTCACCAGTGTTCGAAATACCTGTCTGCAGTCTGCAATCTGCAGATAGATTTTCAAGATTGAAGAAGAAAAATTTATAAAATCTGCAATTTTGCAACAGGAAAAATTGGCACTTGGGATTTGGCGCTCTTGGCCCCAAGGACAGACAAAACTTAAGCTCCTGTTCTGAAACAACAGGAGCTTCTTTCACTAATTTGCATCAACCTCGTCTTGACTTGTCTATCTTTAAATTTGTTTCTTTTTGGACTTCCAAAAATTTGTCTTCACTAATTTGCATATCAATCAATAGTTCATGCTTATAAACCTGCAAGATTGTAGTATGGAGGCTTGTGTATTTGCAGAAAGTATTTCCAAATTGCAGAACAAAATTTTGACTCTTCTGCAATATTGCAGAGCACTGAAAAAAAGTATTTCGACCACTGTCTCACAAATCTATTTTGATTCCCCGAAGATGCATTGGATGGCTTTAAATCTAAAAACTAATTAGTACTTCATTTACTTCATTAGTAAACTTCAGAGTATGGGTAGATTCTCAATGACATAATTGATAGATTACCAACATGTCTTGTTTGTATTTACCTTGGTTTTATCCACCTTGTAATTATGCATGTATTTTGTCAACATGTTTTTGTTGTATGTTTTGAGTAGGTGTTATATAAGCAACTTGTGCTTTTTGTCCAATACTCAATAAATATATGCGAATAAAAAAAAACTAATGAGTATGACCTATCTTAACCCTACCTAGACCGGGTTTTTTTTGGCTCATTTGACCCCCCCCCCTCAGAACTCGCGAACGGTATGTCGTATGACCACCAAATTTTCAGAGGATGGTGTACTACTAGTGAAAATTTATCATATCTTAAATTTTTATGACGTTATGACGTAATATGACGTCATTAATGTGATTTTATTGGCCAAAACCGTCTAGATAGGTTATACCCTGAAAACTAAATGGTATACAACATAACTTTACCAAAAGTGTTTATGACAGATTATTAGGGTGTACTAAGTCTTATGTTGCCCATAGCAGACGCTAGGTGACATCAAAGTTGGCGCGGGCAGTTTTAGCCCCCCCCCCCAGGTCTAGGTAGGGTTAAAGCCCTGTCAACCTTATACTGTACCTGGAAAGTATGAGTAGGTTTAGGTGTGTTGAGGATGTCTTCAGGTACACCCTGTGGTGGTCCCTTGGTCCTTGTGTTCCTCAGTAGCCTGGAGCTGCCCACAGTACCGAGTGCCTGTCTACTTTTAGGAGCCCCCGGAGTGTCCAACAGGATATCTGTAGTAACCACAGTGGGGTCCAGCCTGGTCACGGGTAGGTCACTCGTCGTCTCTGGTGTGTGATCCGGGGGATCCCGCTGACCATCTGATCCAGCGGGGGGATCTCCCAGATCGGCAGGTTGGGGATCTGTCACCGCGGTCTTCACTGGTCGACTGGCAACGCTGGTGGGACGCCGCTTGACAGTGTCTGGAGTTCCACTGTTAGAAAACACATGAAATACAGTCACACTTGTCCAAGGCAACCACACAGGGGACCATGTAAGTATCACTTTCCTCACTTCACTCAGGTGAAGAAGAGTACCTAGCTTCGGTTAGGGACGTCCCTCGGGTAGGACTTTAAATGGAGGTCCTGTATTTGGGAGAGCCACACCCCACGCACGTTATAAAACCAACCACACCAACCACATCGAAAAGAGTAGGGGACCTTCCCGGTGTGAGTGGTTCAAACATTACAGTCTGGTCTCAGGTTTGACATCTTGAAGAGGTGATAGTCACCTGTTATGTCAATCCTTCCATAAATGTGGTAAATCTTCATAAAATAAAAAATGAAAAATAAAAAAATTACAGTGGTCTTCCTAGGCGTAGAAAAAAAAATGTTGTGTTTCCTGTTTCCCGACCGACCCTAAAAAAACTGACGACCCTAGCCTTTTTTTGGGTGGACCCCTGCAAAGGACATATTTTCAAGCTGAATCAACCTTATCTAGCTCCATGACCAATCTGACACCTGAGTGATGAAATATTGCACAATCAGTTTTCTAACATAAGTGTCCACACATTTCCCTTTGTTAAACTTAATTGTATATCTTTATGATCACGGAAGTCTAAGAAAAAATGGATCTAATCTATCTGCCAACCCTAAATTTTTCAGGACTGCAACAGGAAACACAACATTTTTTTCTTAGGCCTTAGACAAGTGGTCCTCTTAATACAAAAGGCACAGCGACAAAAAAAGACAGAAACCAACAGCAAAATTTCCACCCATAGACAAACCCAAAGTGACCTACATGTAGCTGGCACCAAGTGGGCAAATTGGGCAAGTGGTCAGCTTAAGCAAGTCCCTTAAATGCTTATGTCTATGGGGAAAAATCGGGACCACTGGGAAAAGATGGGAGGATAATATCTCAGAGAATAGACCAACAGGACACTAAGTGAAATGCTAACAAAAGAAATGGAAAAGCAAGAAAGGTGGAAAAAACTGGCTTGTAGTAAAAGTCCAAACGGTCAAACAATTATACTAAGGGTCATAGATGAGAATGAGCTAGTAACACAGAATAGAGTTTGAATGGGCAGTGAACATCTCTACAATGTATCAGAGCTGGTCACACTTACCATCTGCTGTCTTGTAAGTCATCTCTTTGTACCACCTGTAAGGGAAGGAACACACCACCACACATCATACAGGTGACTCAAATACTCCTAGAGTACATGTACTGCACTGGTGCAGGTTACAATGAAAATCACCTGCACCAGAAAAATTTCACCTGCACCACTCAGAGTTACTTTAAATTTAATTAAAAATAATAATATACTTCACAGGTGATAACACAGTGAATGCAGCAAATAAAAACCCACATACACCTACATTTGTATATAATTTATATGGACCAGTACATGGACCAGTGCAGGTAGACATCAGAAATACCTGCACAGTTCCAATTTTACCTGCACTAACCTGCATATACCCAGTACATGGACAAGTGCAGGTTAGGTGCAGGTAGACATCAGAAATACCTGCACAGCTCCAATTTTACCTGCACTAACCTGCATATACCCAGTACATGGACCAGTGCAGGTTAGGTGCAGGTAGACATCAGAAATACCTGCACAGCTCCAAGTTTACCTGCACTATATGCCTCTGGGTATTTCAAGCCCCGCATAGTTTTGTTAATAATTATTGTTTACCAAAGGAAAACATATTGTTTTTGCTCAGTTTCTTCGTCCTCTTTTCCAAACAAGTACATTGTACATTGTAAGGTCAATGACCAGAACCAGATGCCTGTCACCATGATAACTAGTGTAGGGTTACATAATGTTGCAATTTTATAGCAGGAGGGATTTAGACTCCTGTCATGATATATGTGAATGTGTTTGAGTAAGAATTAACAGAGCAGATCATATGCGACGGTAAACATTATGCATAAATCCTTTGCAAATGTTACCTTAACTTTCTAGTTATTAAAAATTGTATCTTACCAGTTCCTTGCCAGTAGTGAAGCTGTGGAAGGCGGGTGACTGAGCCAGCTGGTCGGCACTACTGCAGCGGATCCTCACGTTGTCCTTCTCCACGACCACCCGTTGGTTGGCCCACCACGCCATCCGGGGCTTCACCACGCGGCCGCTACTCGAGCGCTTCAGGGATCCCAGCACAGTTTGCAGCGCTGGTGACTGGGTGTCAGCAGCTAGGAACAAATCAATCAATAGTGAGTGTGTGTGAATCAATCAAACTGGTTTATTCTTTAAAAAAAAGGTCTTGCAGCCAAAGGCTTTTGAACATATATGTCCAAAAACAAAATCCATTAGTGGGGTCGTGTGGCGTAATGGTAGGGTTTCTGGACCAGAACCCAGAGGTCCTTGGTTCAAATCCTAACAATACCACCAATCTTGTGACCTCGGGACAGCACTAAATTCCTCACTCCACTCAGGTGTAGAAAATTAATGGGTACATTGTGTACTTGACTTTAGTTGGAGAGGTACAGTTTAGTTGGAGAAGTAGAATGATGGGCTCCGCCTTCCAATAACATACCTTAAATACAGTGGATAACAACCTACAGCCTTAATAAAAAGGTTAAACGCTAGCTACAGGAGTACCTTTTTTTAACCTTTTACCAATTTCCATGACCAATAAAATACAGAGCCTCTTCTGGGTGTGAAAATGGAGAAAAAGTTGCAGATGAACTTAGGGGTAACTAATGCCACGTGTATCTCTTTACGACATCAAAGTTCCATGCCATCATAAAGACTGCCAAGAATTCTACTCTTTTTGGTGTCCCAAAGTTCAGGGCAGCAAAACTGGATTTTCAAAGTCAATTTCCTGGTCATTCTTTTAATGTAAGTTGAATCAGCCCTATTTTATATTACTGATATCTGAGAGGCAAAAATGCCATGTCACTGACAGACAATGGTTGCTTGTTTTTTATCGTAGGCTGGTTCTAGCAATTTTAGTATTTATGGGTGGTACACAAAAAATAAAGCTTCTTCTTGGTCTATTTCATATGCTTTAAGTATGAAATGATGACAAAAATGTTCTTAGAAATGGCAGTAAATGTCAATACCAGACAGATTTTCTCATCTACAATATTCTTGTTTAGCCACCCTGAAATTGCATTGGATGCCTTTCACAACTTTAAAAGTAAGGAATCGACAGCTCGAGACATTGTGAAGGTTTTGAACACTAAAGCATGCATACCCCCTCTTGTGGATGGAAGTGACTCTCTCACTTTAGGGTGATCCTGTTTGGTACTCTGTCTTCGACCTTGTCTGCAAGAGAAAAGAAGACACTCAGAGAAGAAGATTCCAGTATGATTTCTTTGACGTTTAGCTAGTGGAATCAGCACTAAGACATATCAATGAAGGTTAGACATCCAGGTAAACAGAGTTCGAAATACAAAGGTGCAATGTGCAAATTGCACGTAATTTTCAAGATTTGCACCTAAAAATATTTTGAATGTGCAATTTTGCACCTGGAAAATACCGATATATCATGTTTGCACTGCGTATCTCCGAAGTTTCTGGCTGTGTCGGCATCGCGCTGGGCGCATGGCAGCCATATTGTTTTCTTTACTGAACATCCTGGGAACAAGCTGCTCTCGTCCCTAGGTGAAGACGCAAAGGAATTACGTTATGATTTACCTAATATGGCAAGACGCGAAGGCTACGTAGCTGATTTACCAAATATGGTGAGACCCGCGAAACTTGTTGCCCGATGTGGGACGAAGTCCTTCGGCAGAGTAATTTCGGCTTTTTCGTCCAATTTTCGGTGAAATTCGGTGAAAAACAGAGTTTTCGGATTTCCCAGCATTCAGTGCTACCCAGGAAATTTGTAAAGCACGAAGAAGGGCCCAAGAAGAAGGGGTCGATTTTCAAGTTCTTTTCACGGGCCCAGCCGGCATCAGAGGCTGGTGCAGCCAGTGGCGGTGGACCAGAGGCTGGTGCAGCCGGGGCGGTGGATCGGGATATGCCACCGGGTCCACCGTCTCCGAGGATCCCGCGGCCGCGGCCGATGTTGACGACGCGCCCCCAGAGGAGGGGGAGGGGAGCGCCAAGACGCAAAAATTAACCGCACGTTATTTTTTTTCTAAGCAGTATTTTTTCCTTATATCATGCACGATATTCAAGGTAAACAAATATGCAAAATAAATGAAATTTATTGCTCGCATACTGTTGGTAAATTTTCTTTATGTGCCGTATAAGATGTGGAAGTTAGTGTTCGTGACAATTTTTTTTTGTGTGTTCTTTTTTTTTTAAATATAAAGATAATTTATTGTGGGTTTACATATTTTTGCAGGATCCCTCCGCTAAGCCACCAGTAAAACAGTTGCAAACCTAAAGATGCAAGGCTAAATATATTTTTGCACATAAATTTTTCAAATTGCACCTAAAAATTTTGCCAATGTGCAATTTTGCACGTACCTGAAAAAAAGTATTTCGAACACTGAGGTAAACAATATTCAAAGACAAATCAAACTGTACCACTGGATAAAATTACGAAAGTCGCTTCCAGATGTACCATCACTAAAATGAACTGAGAGAGCTAGTCAACACTAATATCACATGTGAAGGAAGTGGAAAAACCAGTTGAACATGACAAAAAAGACTCCCAAGTGTCAATGTTATGTAAATGAGGATAAGGTAGTTCTTATGGTAAAACAATACCATAGGAACTGCTCAACTGGTTTTTCCAGTTCATTCACATGTGGTAAGTGTTGACTAACTTCATTTAATGATGCTGACTGTGGTGGATGTCACTTGAAACACCCAAAATAATCTCCATAATTTATCCAGTAGTAGTTTTTGATTCGCCATTGAAAACAGTAATATGACAATTTCTAAGATCTTGACAAAATGTTATAGGTCTACATGTAATCAGGGCTTGAAAATTCATTTTGGGCACCCAACCTAAAAAATTGGGTGCACAAAAAAAAATGTATGGGTGCACAATATCAAGTACAATACAAAAAAAACTGTTCATAAATTTACATGTATGTTTCATAATTTTCTAAATAAATGTACTATAACAATGATTAATATTTTTTACCCTTAGATATTAAGAATATGCTGTTTACTACAATACATTTAACAAATTACATGTAAACCTACAAAAATATTTAGGTGAACTGGTGCACCAACAGAAAAAAATTGGGTGCACAACTCCAAATTTGGGTGCACTACAGAATTTCAAGCCCTGGTCTTTGTGCTTTGACCAAGTGAACTCACTTTTCTGAGGTGCTGTTGCCATTGTCCTCAATGACTTGCTTCCAGTTCTCAGGAAACCCAGTTCTGAAGGCCCTCGCTACTTTCACATGGAACCCTACAAAACAGGACGTTTGAGGAATAAAAACATCGGAAAACATGAGAGTAAAGCCAAAGGAGTTTTTAAAAGACACAACAGGGTACGGAATACTATTTTAAAGCCAACGGCTACGTTGCCCATCAACACAGGTTGTTTATTTTAGAAGTTGGTACACAGTACCACTGCGTACCTTGTTCTAGTACCATAGCTCTGTCAACAACTCCTCTCAGCTGGTACACAGTACCACTGCCTACCTTGTTCTAGTACCATAGCTGTCAACAACTCCTCTCACCTGGTACACAGTACCACTGCCTACCTTGTTCTAGTACCATAGCTGTCAACAACTCCTCTCACCTGGTACACAGTACCACTGCCTATCTTGTTCTAGTACCATAGCTCTGTCAACAACTCCTCTTAGCTGGTACACAGTACCACTGCCTACCTTGTTCTAGTACCATAGCTCTGTCAACATCTCCTCTAAACTGGTACACAGTACCACTGCCTACCTTGTTCTAGTACCATAGCTCTGTCAACAACTCCTCTCAGCTGGTACACAGTACCACTGCCTACCTTGTTCTAGTACCATAGCTGTCAACAACTCCTCTCAGCTGGTACACAGTACCACTGCCTACCTTGTTCTAGTACCATAGCTCTGTCAACAACTCCTCTCAGCTGGTACACAGTACCGCTGCCTACCTTGTTCTAGTACCATAGCTCTGTCAACATCTCCTCTCAGCTGGTATACAGTACCACTGCCTACCTTGTTCTAGTACCATAGCTCTGTCAACATCTCCTCTCAGCTGGTACACAGTACCACTGCCTACCTTGTTCTAGTACCATAGCTCTGTCAACAACTCCTCTCAGCTGGTACACAGTACCACTGCCAGTCACCACTGTCCGTGATGTCACCCTCTTCACGATTGCGGTACTGTGCCAGAACTGGTGCTCCGGGTCCTGTCTGGAAAAGGAAAAGAAAACTAGAGAAGTAACATTTGCAAAGCAAATGCATAATGTTTACCTTTGGACATGGTCTGCTCTGTTAATTCTTACTCAAACACATTCACATATATCATGACAGGAGTCTAAATCCCTCCTGCTATAAAATTGCAACATTATGTAACCCTACACTAGTTACCATGGTGAAAGGCGTCTGGTTCTGGTCATTGACCTTACAATATACAATGTACTTGTTTAGAGAAGAAGACGAAGAAACTGACCAAAAACAATATGTTTTCCTTCGGTAAACATAAAAATGGAAAGCGTTCTCGGATCCTGATTTAGCTCACCGACTCTTTGGCTGGTCATGACAAAGCAGAGAGACACTATTTGACTATGTACAGTTTTATTTTACTGAGTCACTAGCCACAAGACTACGCAATGCTAATATAATATGAAACTTTAAGATAACATTTGCATAATGTTTACCTTCGCATATAGTCTGCTCTGTTAATTCTTACTCAAACACATTCATATATACATGTATATGGTCAGATAGGAGTCTAAATCCCTCCTGCTATAAAATTGCAACATGATGAAAAACAACACCAACTGCTATATGGTGACAGACGTCTGGTTCAGGTCATTGACCTCATTGGTTTGGAGAAGAAGAGGAAACAGAACAAAAACAATTTTATTGATGTTTTCCTTTGGTAAACATTATAAAACATTTCAGTCAGGACAATAGATAAACTGTCCAAATTCAAAGTTTGAAATAATTTTGTCAGGTTGCCAACTGGGCAACCCAAGCCAAAAGCTAGGTTGTCAATCAATATTTCAGGTTGCCATCAACACTGACCGTTTATTTTAGAGGGCAAACCATATGCCTGGCACCTATAATTTGGTCAAACACCCAACCATTCCACCACACAGCTATCATGGATATCCCATTATAAGGCCACGCCAATTTAATTTGTTGCTTCTCGGATCGCCCTGTCCATTTTTTCTGATTTGCAAAAAAAAAAAATTTTTTTTGTTCTAAATTAACTGCAAAATGCTCAATGAAAGACATATTTTTGGCCCCAATGGTTGAAGAAAGTCCTTTTCTTCCTACTTCTTAAAGTTTTTCAATGTAACAATGCAATTTTGTTTCAATAAAAGTTCAAAATCTATTGTTGTAATTATAAACTTCACTTCATGGCTCATATTGTAACATTTCCGGTTATCATGGGGTGCCTTGGCCTGTTTTTTTATTTTTATTTCGCCCTGTCGCTTCATATTTTTTCTGAAAAAATCCGAGAAACAACAAATTAAATTGGTGTGGCCTAAAGAATCAAATCAAGATCTGGCCAGGATGAGAAATAAGACAGTAGAATGTTCTTACTTGCGATGGCCCTCCACCACAATGTCTGTAGACTTCCTCACTGGTTTGATGAACCAGTTGTATAAAACATGCTCCTTGAAAGGCTTCATTGTAGTCTGTGGATAAAAATACAAGTTAAAAGTTACACTACGACATATTTGCCAGTGGTCAAAATACTTTTTTTCAGTGCTCTGCAATATTGCAGAAGAGTAAAAATTTTGTTCTGCAATTTGGAAATACTTTCTGCAAATACACAAGCCTCCATACTACAATCTTGCAGGTTTATAAGCATGAACTATTGATTGATATGCAAATTTGTGAAGACAAATATTTGGAAGTCCAGAAGGAAACAAAAGATAAACAAGTCAAGACAAGGTTGATGCAAATTAATGAAGAAGCTCCTGTTGTTTCAAAACAGGAGCTTAAGTGTTGTCTGTCCTTGGGGCCAAAAGCGTACAAAAAAAAAGTGCCAATTTTTCCTGCTGCAAAATTGCAGATTGTATAAATTTTTCTTCTGCAATCTTGAAAATCTATCTGCAGATTGCAGACTGCAGACAGGTATTTCGAACACTATTTGCCTTTTTCTAATCTTCTTGCACCAAGTAATATACTGAAGGACCTACATGTAAGAGCAGTGTTCTAGCCAGCCTGAATTTTTTTTGTGTCATCTCAATTTTGAGTACAACAATCCTAGGGTGGTTTAGGTGCATGCTCCCCCTGGAAAATTTTAAATCAAGACCATTTGAAATGCTATTTCCTGCATTTTGAGGGGCAAATTTTACTAGCAAACTGACTAATAATTAACTAAATTAGTTTAAAAATGACAGCCCTTTGCACGCCAATTTTCGTCCGTCAAAGATGGCAAATTAGGCAAATGTTTTGACACTGGCTAGAACACTGCCAAAAGTAGAAGTCAATACCTGTAGTACTATTATAAATCTTGCATACTAGTATTAATAACTTACCATTGTGGTCAACTCAACATTTCCTAAAATCATGGCTTGATATACACATGCATTGCAGGTAACAACAGAAACAACTTGTAGTTTTGCAGCTTTTTAATCTTGGTATTATGGATCATAATCAAAGTTGCATTGAAAATAAATGTCATTCAAGAAGTGGAGGTGCCAAAAAATGACACCTTACTACTGTGTTTAAAAGCTGGAAACACAGCTGTCAGCCATGTCTATAAATTACATTCTGGAATTGTTCAATGGAATTACGTGGATACTAGAAAAACTGAAGAAATATCTTACAGCTTTCTTCAAGTGTGTGGCTGCTGATTTCTCTTGTTCTGATGTACATGTAGTGTCAACTGACATGTTGTCTGTAAAAAAAAAGTAATTAGTACGGATTAGAGCTGTGTACCTAAGGCCACACCGACTTAATTTTATGGATGACATCCGCGCGCGCACTGATTTTCGCATGTTCTCAAAAAAAAAGATCACGTCCTCTGGCTCTAGGCCTGGGTAGTCCATGGTAGTTATCGACAATACGGAGCCAGGCACCCAGGCTACCGAAACTCCACGACTCAAGAACTCAGTATACATACGTATACGTACAGTGCCGATTCATAAATTCCGCAAAAAGCCAGTATTTTCCGGCTTGTAGTATACGTCGCTATGTACTGCCGCAAATTCACAATACCAGCTTTGTATTCCTGTGGTTCAGTAGCATTTTTATTTTTGGCCGGAATTTTTCTTTATTCGCCTGCGCGCACTAGTTTGGGGGTCTTCAGAGGATGTCATCCATAAAATTAAGTCGGTGACGCCTAAACAACTTTTTTAGCTACAGGTACACAGGTTTAGGTACAGGTCTGACACTAAACCACTGTACCTAAATAATTAAACAAATTAACATGTTCTAATATTATTTAACAGAAACATGAATAAGGTAAGTACAAAATTGCACACTGGCAAAAATTTTAGGTGCAGTTTGAAAAATTTATGTGCAAAATTATATTCATAGTGGTGAAGATAAGACATCCAGGTAATAAGATACACCAAAAAAAAAAACAGTTACTCAAGCAACTGGATATGATTTTGGAAACGGTCAGACCTCTTGGTACTATCCACTACCTTTTGTCAGTGACACTAAGAGACTACAGGAGAATGGCTGCCAAGGTTTATAAGCAACATATATTTGATTAATATGAAAATAAGTGAAGACCAGTGAGTGAGAGAGAGAGAGAGAGAGTGAGTTAGAGAGAGAGAGAGAAAGAGACAGAGGGTCCAGCTATTTACTAATTTCAGGCCATTGGTGACCAGTGAGTGGGTGAGTGAGAGAGAGAGAGAGAGTTAGAGAGAGAGAGAGAGAGAAAAAGAGACAGAGGGTCCAGCTATTTACTAATTTCAGGCCATTGATGACCAGTGAGTGAGTGAGTGAGAGAGACAGAGAGAGAGAGAGAGAGAAAGAGACAGAGGGTCCAGATATTTACTAATTTCAGGCCATTGATGACCAGTGAGTGAGTGAGTGAGAGAGTGAGTTAGAGAGAGTACCGTGGCCGACAAGAACAAAATTTTACACCGCAACTTTTGGTGTTTTACACCGCAACTTTTGGTGTTTTACACCGCAACTTTTGGTGTTTTACACTGCAACTTTGGGTGTTTTACACTGCAACTTTGGGTGTTTTACACTGCAACTTTTGCTGTGTTTTACACTGCAACTTTTGGTGTTTTACACTGCAACTTTTGCTGTGTGGAAAACTTACACCCCTCCCCTTTTATAATGGACGGTCCCCCTGTCAGGTCAAAGGTGACAACGATGGCATGGAAACTACGTCGACTGAGTTATCCTTTTCGTGCATAAGTTTTTTAGAGGAAAAGCTTGGCTACGTTGTGACGTTAGTTTTTTTCTAAAGGTTTTTCTAGCTTTGGCCTATAGATCGGGATAAATTTAAAAATGTTTCGACCAGGTCCAGTGATTACAAATTATGTTGCTTTTTGCTGCCATGCGTCACAACAAAATTTATCAAAAGAAGTCGTACTACTTATTAAGTTAAAGTTATTTTACTTTGGACCAACCAATGACTTTATCCTTTAGTAAGTCAGCACTTTGCACTGGTTACAAGGATAAGCAGTAGATTGAAGAATATGGATAATATACCTGCACACTCTGATTTAAACTTTAATTTTTACGAGGACGTAGTTTGCATGCCATCGTTGTCACCTTTTACCTGACAGGGGGACCGTCCATTATAAAAGGGGAGGGGTGTAAGTTTTCCACACAGCAAAAGTTGCAGTATAAAACACAGCAAAAGTAACAAAATGCAGTGTAAAACACCAAAAGTTGCAGTGTAAAACACCAAAAGTTGCAGTGTAAAACACAGCAAAAGTTGCAGTGTAAAACACAGCAAAAGTTGCAGTGTAAAACACAGAAAAAGTTGCAGTGTAAAATACCCAAAGTTGCAGTGTAAAACACCAAAAGTTGCGGTGTAAAACACCAAAAGTTGCGGTGTAAAATTTTGTACTTGTCGGCCACGGTAAGAGAGAGAGAGAAAGAGACAGAGGGTCCAGCTATTTACTAATTTCAGGCCATTGATGACCAGTGAGTCAGAGAGAGAGAGAGAGAGAGAAGAGAGAGAGTGAGTGAGTGAGAGAGAGAGAGACAGAGGGTCCAGCTATTTACTAATTTCAGGCCATTGATGATCAGTGAGTCAGAGAGAGAGAGAGAGAGAAGAGAGAGAGTGAGAGAGAGACAGAGAGACAAAGGGTCCAGCTATTTACTAATTTCAGGCCATTGATGATCAGTGAGTCAGAGAGAGAGAGAGAGAGAGCAGGCATACTGATATTATAACTAACTGTTGATATGCTGTACCTATGTTATCTGCCCAGGCGATACTCTGTGAAAGTCTGTCATTGGTGGGCTGTTCCATCTCCTTCCCCTCCTCCCCACCCATGTCATCATTTTCAGCCATGTTGATGGGCTGTTCCATCTCCTGTCCTCCCTCCCCGTCCCTGTCCTGTCGGTCTGCCTCAGGTGTTTCTTCCTCAACTGTCCCAACCACGCCCTCTTCATTATCCGCCATGTTGGAGTCCTGTTTAGAATTAAATACATAGAACATTTAGTAGACAAATAGTATCAAGGCTCGAACTACTTTTTTGGGGGTTGCATGAAAAATTGCATGTTGGCAGAAAATTTACATGCAATTCAAAAAAATTTGGGAATAGGTGCACTGGTGCACCTAAGGCCACACCAATTAAATTTTATGGATGACGTCCTTTGGAGACCCTAAATCTAATGCGAGAAGGCAAAAAAAAAAAAACGTTAGGACACAAATTGAATGAGGTGACACAGTGTAACAAGCAAGAAGTCTTTTATTCATCATCAAAACAGCAATAAATCAGGTGGAATAGCAGTTGTCGTCCTGTCCTGTTTTCGTGTTACGGGTTTCAAGTCAATCTGACGATTTGTGGCAATGTCATGACTCTTTGGTCATACTTACAGAAAGCGGAATTCTTTTTTTTTCTAGGAACGGGCCAAAATCAATGCGTGCGCTGACGTCATCCATAAAATTTACTTGGTGTGACCTAACCTAAAAACTTGGGTGCATCAAATTTTGGGGTTGCACCATATGAGATAAAATAAGTAGAATGTCAGCAAAAGCTTAATTACATGTATGGTTCATTTCTAAAGAAAAGTACTTTAAAAATAACAAGCATTTTGTTATTTTTCTGACACTTAGATGTTAAGAATATGCTGTATGCTACTATACTTTTAACATCTTTACATATGTAAACCTACGAAAATATTATTACCACAGAAAAGAAATGAGTACAAAGCTCCAAATTTGGGTGTACTAAGGTGCACATGCACCCAGTACTTTGAGCCTTGCTGTTTGAGTGTAGGGGCCCCCTATGCCCCCACGGATCGAAAAATGGAAATTCTCTGGCCGGCTAACTCTCCTGGTATACTATCTTTTTATTTCGGCCAAATATTTTTCCAGCAATCTACGGTGTCTTGTAGAGGCTACCCTATGCTGTAATTAGTGTGTATATATAAATTATAATATATGTATAATCAAATCAACATGGCCTTAGGCCACACCAATTTAATTTCTTGGTTAACAGATTCGCCCGCTTCATTTTTTTCTGATTTAAAAATAAAAATAAAAATTCAGAATCAACTGCAAAATGCTCATTTTTTACCCTGAACAGTTGAAAACAGTCCTTTTCATCCTACTTGTTACAGTTATTCCATCTTTCAATGCAATGGTATCATTAAAAGTTCAAAATTCATTGTTTAAATTTTGAACCAGCCTGGTGTGTTGACTTCATGGCTTCTATCGTACCATTTTGGGCCATAATAGGATGCCTAGGCCTGTTTTTATTTATTTTTTTTCGCCCGCCCGTTCCATTATTTTTCTAGAAAAATCCGTTAACCAAGAAATTAAATTGGCATGGCCTTAGTATATAAAACCAAAGCCGACCGTGTCTCCCTCCTGCTCATGATGCCTGTTCTCAGCAGTGTCCTGAACGGTTCCGTCTGTCTCGTTCATCTTGACGGTATCATCATCGCTTTCTGTGTCATCCATGTTGTCATGACCCTGTTCCTGAGCAGAAAAGACATGAACATCAGTTTCACAACAATCATGGAGACATGGGGATGGGCTCCAAATTCATTTTTTTGGAAATAGGGCCTAGGAAAGAGATGTCATGTTTCCTGTTTCCCGACCGACCCTAAAAAGAACTGCTGACTGTATCTATGAAGGATAGAAGATTCTGTATCATTTTTCTTTATCATTCTCAAAGTCTTAATGGTACAGGTAAAGTTTGTCTGGTTCAGGAAATTTTATAACGTTACCTGCACCAGTGCAGGTATGCAGAAAAAAGTACTTGTAGCCCTGTCAGGTGACAACCCCATACATGTAAAAAAAAAATGTAGCTGTTCACAGCTATGATAAAGCCTGAGCACCCACTACATGACCTAGCGCCCCCCCCCCCCAATGGTCCACAGCTACAGTAGATGTTTGCGGAACGACAGTGCCTTCACTGTGCCAAAAGCCAGGACTGAGCGGCTGAAAAGGTCATTTGTTCCCTGTGCGATAAAACTGTACAACGAGTCTGTTTCATAAGCTACCCCATGCTGTATCTGCGTCCAATTTTGTTATCTTTATGCTGTATTTTACTACTTCATCGATTGTGTGTTTATTGTAACAAACTACCCAATTCAGGGAGACTTGTGTCTTTCCCTGCATATGTATGTTTGCGGTTGGAAAACCAATAAAGACATCATATGTACCTGGCTGCTTGTTTCTTCCGTGCTATCGCGGACATGGCCCACATGGACAGCTGGTCCCGCGGCGGGCGGGGTCACGATGAGGTCAGCGGGGTCGTGCTGCTGTAACATCTCCTCGTGAGAGTCCAGCCAGGTCATGACCTTCTGTTTCCGCCCCGCCGCGGTCGGCCGTTCCCGCCCTTCTCGAACTCTGGAACCCGCCGCGTTCGCCGCTTCAGCGACGGGATCTTGTTCCAGATCTTTCTGCGACTCTTTGGGTTCTTGTTCGGGGTCTTTTTGGGACTCTTTCGTCTGTTTTTGTTGCTCATCACTTTCGTTTACTTCAGCGCTGGGCCTGCCTTCACTGTCAAGGTTCCTGGTCATGTTTTCCTTGTTTTCATCCCTCGACGAGACATTCTGTAAACCTGCAGTTTTAGAAATACCAATCTTCAATAGAGACATTTTGCAGAGACATTTTCAAATTCAATATTGCAGAAGAAAAATGAAGCAACCTGCAACTTTGCAGACTGAAGAAATAAGGCTACCGGTTCAAAGTTATTGACATAAAGTTTTCTACTAAGCTGAAAAACATTCTTTTTTAAAACTGTGCACTGTATAATATTGCTTAAGAACACTTTATAACTGTTCATACTACTGATTCTATAATTACTACTGACTCTAAACTAGACTAGTTGTTTTGAATGCATTTTTCAAATTGCATGAAAAATGTTTCTTGTTTGCCTATACATGCAATTTTGCTTATGATATGGGTTTATACAACTTGAACCTACAATGTAATATTGTAAGTAAACCTATGAACCTGAATCTGGACCTGAACCTGAGTTTAAGTGTGCATCCCTACTAGTACTATATATTCAAGATGGAAGTATATTGTTGGCATTATAAGGTTGAGAAGGAAGTACGTATGGAGGCTTGTTGTTTAGCAGCGAGTATTTCCGAAATGCAGAACAAAAGGACAATCTGCCATATTGCAGAACACTTGCAGGGCTTGGTCCAACCAGGCCACTCAGACCACTAAAATTTAGCCTGGGACAGTAAAAATACACTTTGGGACATTTTGGGGGCAATAGAAAAATAATCAACAACAGAATGTCAGCCCTTCTTTTGTTTACCTGGCACACATCACGGAAGTGAACATAGGCAAAATAAAGTTGACTTCATGTTGAATTCATACAATACCTCCCAAAAAAACAGGTTGGGACACTTGTCTGACAGTTCATCCTCACTTCGGGACAATTGAAATTTAATTTTGGGAAAGTGCTTGGACAATAGGAAGAAAAGTTAATTTCGAGGCAAAAAAAAAATTCTACAACCGACCTGGTGCAGTCAGACAGGAGCGATCTAACCCGGCTGTCTCCGGGGCCATGATCTCTTCCATCTCTTCCAGCGTCTTTTTCTGCCGCATGGCCGCGATGAGTTTGGCGACTGGCGAGGGTTTGTAGAGCACGCGGCCGGACGGAGACTTGAAGGCAGGAGCTGCACGTGTGCCGCCCGCCGCGTCACTAACCTGTCCTCTGTCCATTCTTCCTTCGAGGGTCTACAGTAGGGAGGGCGGGGGGAGAAAAAAATTAGTACAATTACAGTGTTACATACAATCCTCAATATAATAAATAATTACCTACTACTACTACTAGTGATGCATACCTAAACCCAATTTTAGGTTCAGGTCCGGATTCAAGTCCAGAGGTTTAGGTTCACAGTGTTCGAAATACCTGTCTGCAGTCTGCAATTTGCAGGTAGATTTTCAAGATTGCAGAAGAAAAATTTATACAATGACAATCTGCAATTTTGCAGCAGGAAAAATTGGCACTTGGGATTTGGTGCTCTTGGCCCCAAGGACAGACAACACTTATAAATATAACTTATAAGCTCCTGTTCTGAAACAAAAGGAGCTTCTTCACTAATTTACATCAACCTTGTCTTGACTTGTTTATCTTTTGTTTCCTTGTGGACTTCAAAAAATTTGTCTTCACTAATTTGCATATCAATCAATAGTTCATGCTTATAAACCTGCAAGATTGTAGTATGGAGGCTTGTGTATTTGCAGAAAGTATTTCCAAATTGCAGAACAAAATTTTGACTCTTCTGCAATATTGCAGAGCACTGAAAAAAAGTATTTCGACCACTGGTTCAGTTCCAGACTTGTAAGTCCGGACCTAAACCCATGGCATATACAAAATTGCATGTTGGCAACCTCGCAATAACATGGAGGCTGGTACTTGACGATGCCCGATGGCAATGTTTTCTTTGTTTTGCAGCACAGATTTTACAATCTACAGAAGGTTTTAGGTGGTTTGGAAAGAAAAGGGGTATGTGAAATGGTCTTTTATGGTAATAAGTCCGGACTCGGTTCTTGACTTTAAGGTTTTTTTGGACTTGAACCTAAACATTCTTACAAGTCCGGATCCGAGTCCAGTGAACCGGTATGCATCACTGACTAACTACTACTACTAGTACTACTACATGTACTAGACTATATATAACTACTAAGTTGCATTTTGCATATATCCGAAAAAAGGATTTGGAGTCCTGTCAGTCTTCCTAGAAATAGTAGAATTGACAGGTTGAGTCCTTGTGACTTACCCTCACACTACCACCTCCTTCATACAGCCTGGCAAACTCATGGTTGACTGCTGTCACCTTCTCAGGAGGCACAGCCGGGGGTTTGTACACTGAACTCATCCTTCAGACATGGCCTCTCACTCTCTTCATATTTATCACATATGGATCTGTGGAAAATGACAACACACACCGACACATGACACTCACTGACACTCTCAAATAATAGTCAGGGCTCGAAATACTGCGTGCATGTGCACATTATTACTTTTTTTTAGTGCACCCAAAATTGGAGCTGTGCACCCAATTTTTTTTTTCTGTGGGTGCACCAGGTGCACCCAAATATATACATAACAAATGTATACAATATGCAGGGCATTCTTGGCATACAAGTGTCAGAAAAATAATAAAATCTTTTTTAAATCCAAGCGCAGAAGAAAAATCTGTAATCAGTTTTTGTTTTATGCGGGCACCTAATTTTTTTTGGTAGGGTGCACCAGTGCACCTAGTCCCAAAGAAGAATTTCGAGCCCTGGACACTGTCAAATAATAAGATTTTAGAAGACTTCAGAGAACATGGCAGGCTTCTGAGCTGCAAATTGTAGTAACTCCCCTGGCATGTTATCTCTCCATTTTGGCAAAATATTTTCTATGTTCTTTCCAGCCACTTCTGAAGCCTAGTACTAGTAGAAGGGGGTAAGGCCACACCAAGTAAATTTTATGGATGACGTCCGCGTGCGCATTGATTTTGGCCTGTTCCTAGAAAAAAAAAAAAAATCCGCTTCCTGTAACTATGACCAAAGAGTCACGATAGTGCCGCAAGTCGTCAGATTGACGTGAAACCTGTAACGCGAAAACAGGACAGGACGACAACTGCTGTTCCACCTGATTTATTGCTGTTTTGATGATGAATATAAAAGACTTCTTGCTTGTTATCACCTCATTCAATTTGTGTGCTAACATTTGTCGTCTCAGTATATTTCTAATCTAGGCATCTTGTTTTTTAGGGCCCTTCTTGTTTGTTTTTTTTCGCCCTCTCGCATTAGATTTAGGGTGTCCAAAGGACGTCATCCATAAAATTTACATGGTGTGGCCTAACGAGGTACACAAGTCAACGTCATGTAGTGCAAGATCTGTTCTTTGCTATGCTGAGCTTAGTTTAGGATTAATATAATGTCCTTTGTTACTTGAGTATAGTTACAAACGTTTGGCACAGTAACGTCACAATTATTTTCCCTTTCCCCAAAAAAATTAGCGGTGAAGTTGCAGATAATTTTATTTGTCTGCCAAAACTTACGCCAGTCGCCATCACAATAATCGCCGTGTATTTTCTAGTAATTTCCGTTCATAGAGATCGAGACTACAGTACCAAAACTCTCTCTATATCAATAGACTTGTCATGAAGCAAAATGCATCGTTTTAAAACTTGTACAGCCCATGATAACAGTAAACATACGAACCTTTGCAAATTCTTGCCACAAATTTCTTCCACAGAGATTCGATTCAAGCGCCCGCCAAAGTTGGCAACATGTGACGTACGATTTCAGTTTAACAACAGGCCATGTGATTGGTCCTCGTTGAAAGATTCTTACCAATGGTCAACAAAGTGACCAATCACAGGAAAGCTATTATAAACAGACAACTATTCGGAAATCACGCGAGATTAGGTACTTGGACGGATTCATTTTTCATCAGGGGGGTAAATAGGTGAAAAGGGATTTTCACTTCAAATGTTTTATTTCGGTCTCAAAGACCAAAACGCCAATGAAAGAACAATATTGTAATGGATTTTTCCTCTAGAGATGACTAATACACACTCAGAATCAAGGCTTTCTCTAACATTCTTGACAGAACCCAAAGTGGTTCAATCCCATCGTCCTAGGGGGTTGGTAGAAAAAGCGGACCAGTCCAGGCTGGGGAAAAGCGGTCGGACTCTTCAAGTAGTTGCGCCCCTGGTGGCAAGCGATAGAATTGCAAACAGTCTGATACGGAAGTGATGTGTTAAAAGGTTCGCAACATGATGCGCACTGATTGGCCGTATGGCAGTTTGCACGAAAATGTCCGAAGTAAAGTTCTACGCCACCACAAGGCAAAAATGTCAGTGGTCTATGACATGATTTAGACAACAAACTAGAAAGGCCAATATTTGCTTTGGAGCAAATACAGCGATGGGTTCACCACATTTTACGACATGGCAGGGAAAGAATGAGAAACGCAAGGGAAAACAATGATTTACATTGATATAACTATAATATGAAGTAACATACGACTAAAACAACAGTTGGATAGCTATTCCCTACTTTATTGGTTAGGATTTTTAATTGCATAATGCAAACTGTTGATTTTCAAAATAAAAATAACGTTCATGCCCCGCATTCCAATGCTGGAGCAGGAAAGCTTGAAATACCTACCAAAACACTTGAATACAGACATACTGTCTGTATGGAAATACTCTGTGCAGGTGTTAATCAAGTTAAATCCCAACAGCCATGCTCTGTGCAGGTGTTAATCAAGTTAAATCCCAACAGCCAATCAGCAAGAAGAATAGAGGAAAGCTGCATGCCTATTGGTTGATGCCCTGCATTCCATTGTGATGACTCATACCCAAACGTGGTAAACATGACACACTAACACAGTAATACATTTGCTATAACACAGCCAAAAAACTCAAATAAAACCATTCTAAAAGCCTGTATCACAAAAATTTAAAAAACGCCTAGGGGTATTTGCCCACTGTACCTCCATACCAAATTTCAGGACCTTAGGCCCTAAAATGAAGAAGCTGAATCCATTTAAAAAATGGCAGGAGGAGAAGGAGAAGAAGAAACACCAGAAAAAGCAATATGGTTTCACCACACCACTTCGTGGTGTGGTGAACCCATAATTATCAAAAAACATTGTGTAAAAACAGGCAGGACAAGGGTTAAGAAAGCCATTATGGATTGTGATGATATTCGGTATGACGGGATAGATTTTTGAAGGTATTGCAGCAGAACTCCCGACTTAAAAAAAACATATAACTCAAGAAGGAATATATATAACTCAAGAAGGAATTCACGGATCGTCTTAATTTTTTGTATGAAAGCTTAGCTTACTTCAAGTGATGATGACAAAATTAGGTCTGGATCTAATGTGCATAATAACTATATATGTCTTATAAATATGCTGTGTTTCATAATAAGACTATTCAAACATGTGGCATACATGTATGTAAATATCGATTAGAAATGAAGTGTGCAAATGAAGGCCACGTTTGTATATTCAATGAGAAATATTTGTAATACGTCACTTAGTAGTAGGTCGTTCTAGGGCCATGAAAAGATACAACATCTACACCATGTACTTATTGTTTTAGTACTCTAATACCTTTCTTTGTTAAGATAAAACGTTTGTACTCTAGACAACTGATAGGATTTTATATTATGCAAATGAGGACCTTATTTGCACAATTCATTTCTATCGATATCCTGTCGATATCTAGCCTTCATTAAGTTCGGTTATGAAAGTTCACATCGGCGAAGGTATGATGTCCTTGAACTGTATTTATAATTGAAGAAAGAAAGGAAAGAACGAAAGGTCTCCCGTGCCCTTATGCAGAGCGTAGGGTGGTGCCCATATCCATTTCTGTAGCCCTTGGGCGACACACAGTTACTGTACTAGTTGTGCGATGCACTACAGCAGGGGGCTAGTCCGCTGGTAGTGCTGTGTGTTTGACCTTCCCACACTCTTTCTCATATGTGCTGAGTGCTAAGCAGAGAAGAAAGTGTGTACCATTTTTAAAGTCTTTGGTATGACCCGGCCGGGGTTTGAACTCACGACCTCCCGGTTACAAAGCGAGCACTCTACCAATTGAGCTATTGTCTAATCGAAGAACTCACAATCTTCTTTTTTCATACATATGTTGTATTTGCAATTAACCCTCGGGCATGTATTACAACATACTTTCTTCATACATGGGTACCGTGTTCTGTGCGTTCGGTTATTTTACAATTTTTTTTTTTTTCATATTTTAAATCCCCCGTCCTTTCAGGCACTTCCGTCAGTTCCCCGGTCTTCAGACGATGCCATCCAACTGATAACTAGAAAGGCAACATACATTTGAAAAGCAAATGCATAATGTTTACCTTCGTATATGGTCTGCTCTGTTAATTCTTACTCAAACACATTCACACATCTGTTGACAGGAGTCTAAATCCCTCCTGCTATAAAATTGCAACATTATGTGACCCTACACCAGTTACCATGGTGACAGACGGTCTGGTTCAGTGTATGGAAGGGAAGCAGAAACAGAGCAAAACAATATGTTTTCCTTCGGTAAACACAACTAAACGTGTGGCCTTACCTAGCCAAGAAAACCAGCCCAAGACTGTTGTTGCACAATTATACAATAGTCTTTATTTTGCACAGAAAGTATCGTGACACAACTGTGGCGTTACATCCTGCGTTACTGTTTGTCGTCGTCATAAACTGTCCACATCCCATGACTATCTAGACTTTGGTACGTACGTACTGGCGGTTAAAGGCATCCAATGCAATTTCAGGGCGGCAAAACTGGAAATATTCTGAATAAGGCAATCTGTATGATATTGACACATACTGCCATACAGTGGCACATTAGCATCAGTATATCAGACTTTGGGCAGTGCAGACACAAGCCCCAAAATGAGACCTTTATTTTCTTTTCTAGGATCCCGCCAGTAACAGTACTAGTACATGTATTCCATCAAGAATTACTAGTAATAGGGCCGGACAAACCCCTCGGGCTCAACTCCCCCGTAGCGGTAATTTAGATAGGCGGGCGAAGGGCTCTTTGCTGCCGAAGGAAAACGGCTAACGGCCCGATACTAGTCTTGCATCCAGGGTATCACTATGTAGATAAGTGACTAGAATATTGAATTCGACAAATCTAGTTTTCCCCTAGCCCTAAAACTGCATTGGATGCCTTTAAAATGCATTGTTGGTCCATATCACTAGACAGTCAAAGTACATTTCAATCACATTTAAAAAGGCAAACACAATCATACAAGAACGAGTCAAGAGTAAGATATTTGAACTACAATTGTATAGATTGAATAGCTTTAACCACCATTTCGTCTCGCGTTGCAGAAAGAAATATATTATAAAGTAAAGAAAAAGAATTGTTGTTGCCTTCGAATGAAACACTGGTTAAAATGGCTGTTGGTCTAACGGTAGTTAATGATTTGGATTTTGCAGCAGGTTCAAAAATTGTACATTCTTGCAACATTTCATTCGTCAGTACTGACTTGTTCTCCAGCGCCAAAGTAAAATAACCTGTTTACAACCACTTTCAACATCGCCGGTCCAGACCCAGGTCACTTGTAGAAAAGAAATATTGCACAAATAATTCCCGGACTGATTCTGATAGAGAAGCCTACATAGCTTGGTAGCCAGTCTATCGTGGTTGGGGCTACTCTCCAAGCAGAGGTTTGAAGTTTTTAGGCTTTTTTATCGGGGCTTATTTTTTTTGCACTGGAATTTTTTTCACCCAACTTCCAGTACAAAAAAGAAACCCCGACAAAAAAAGCCTAAAGCCGTGGAACTTCTTTGTGTTGTTTTGTTATTTTGAAATTGAAAAAAAAGAAGCCTTAAACCACGTCAAAAATAAACCAAAACCTCTGCTTGGAGAGTAGTTGGGGCGGGATCCCTCCACCCAGCTGCCCGATTGAAATGTTGTATAGCCTGGGTGCCAGACTGTTTCGAGGACCTACAAAGGCCATGCAGTTCCTCGGCTCCATGCCCAAACATGCAACCATGGAAATTATACCACAGTCCACCAAAGTTTTGCACGGCAGGAGTTTTAAACTCTCCTCGTTCAAAACCTACCGTGGAGCCTAGTTGAGTCGGGCGGCGAGAAGCTTATGCAGCCCCGAAGAGAACCCGCGTAGCGCGCGCGATAGATTGGACACCAGGCAGTGCCTACAAAGACACGTTTTACTGAGTGTGTCCAGAACCGTGGCTATCGTTAGTAGTTCTCAGTGTCTGAATGGGTTAGGATTAGGATCAGGTACAATATTCTGGATCGATAGTCTCCGCGTATCCAAGAACGTAGATTTGCCCCAGGCACGGTTCTGGATACGAGAGAAAACTATCCAGAACCACGCCAAAGCATCGTTCTGGACACAGCAAGTTCACATGATCTCATTTTTTTAAATCAATTGAGTCTCGTAGTAACAAATCGGATGTTCGGTCATCATACAGAATTTTTTCTTCTATAGTCAAGCTTGTAACTACTGTATATATTATACAGTCTTAAGCTTAGGACAATCAATTGTGGTCACGAGATACGTCGAAAGATCCAAAAATACTTGAGATACGAAACACTGGGATGCCAAAAAAAACTGAACCGGGAAGAGCCATACCTGTGGATTTGCATGTGTATGATGATAATATAATTACGGAACTATAATTACGAATACAGAGTTACTTCAGGACGGTGGGTAATACCTACATCAAACACTTTATATGTCCAGCCACCACCAGGCCTCCCTAACTGTGGATAGTGAGATTCAGCAAAATCAACAATTGGCCAGGGGATAGAGCCGTACGTGGTACGTTAACTGTAGCCTCCACCAGGCCTTTGTACGGGAATACGTATCGTAGAATTCGGCAAAAAAAAAGAGAGTAAAATTGGCCAAAGACGTCAGGCCGCGGGGAGGTAGTTTCTTTCTCTCCGAAGCGGCCAGTCAAACCTACAAGGCGGCCAAACTCCCCTGGAAATTATTCTCCTATATATAGCCAGCGTAGTTAGTCTGGTAGAGACTACGTTAAGTGCACGGGAAATGGCCAAACTCCTCTACATCTGCCGGTCAATTGTTCTCTCTATATGGCTAAATTTTACTATCATTAAGGGCGTTGTTAGTGTGGTTGAAACTAGTACATGTCAGCGGGCACACCGAAGACATGGGACATCGAAACAGGTGAAGTAATTTATATCTAGTATAGTATAGTATTCATTTCACGACAAAAATATCATTTTCCTTCATTTTATACTTTATACTTCAATGGAGTTTGCACGCGCGTGTATGTGCATTGAAACTGCTTTTTGCAGGCGAACATCTATGTGTGTGTATGTGTGTATGTGTGTGTGTGTGTGTGTGTGTGTGTGTGTATCTGTGTGTATTTATGTGTGTGTGTACATATGTGTGTATGTGTGTACGTATGTGTGTGTGTGAACGTATGTGTGTGTGTGTGTGTGAACGTATGTGTGTGTGTGTGCGCGCGTGTGTGTGTACGTATATGTGTATGTGTGTGTGCGTATGTGTGTACGTGTGTGCGTGCCTATGTGTGTACGTGTGTGTGTACGTATGTGTGTGTGTGTGTGTGTGTGTGTATGTGTGTACATGTATTTTATACATATATATTAATGTGTGTATTTGTGTGTGTGTGTTTGTGTGTACATGTGTGTGTGTGTGTGTGTGCGCGCGCGTGTGTGTGTGCGTGAGTGTGTGCGTGCGTGCCTGCGTGTGTCACAGTGTTTATGATCTAACAAATTTGATTAGCCCACAATTAATATTACTCCATGGCTTTGTCGGGATATCAAGTCAAATCAAGTTAAGCGTGTACACACCGACATTTGTCACAATCCCTTGCTTCAATTCCATATAGACGCTGCCAATCCACTCCACAGACGAACACCTTCCCTCATATTACGCCATACCCCAACATACAATAAGTAGAACCATATATATATCTGTGATTGTTACATATACACTCTGATTGAGGCTAAATGCGACCAGGGTATTCTCGACACCCAGTGATGTACATGTATAGAGCTGACCAACTTCCTCTCTTATGAGCTAAACTAAGAAAACGAAATCATCTCATTATGATCATGAGTAGCTTCAGAGCTACCTCCGCTCTACAGACCGATCATGTAGTTTGGCTTCACCGACAACCAGCTGCTTCCGGCTTCCTTTCCTTTCTTCGGTTCATTTTCTTCTTCTTCTTCTTCGTTTTTTGTTTTCTCGATCTTCTCTTCTGCTTCAGCCTTCTCCTGGCGTTTTTCTTCCTCTTCCTCCTTTTCTTCCTTCTTTTCTTCCTTCAGATCGAGCTCTTGGCGTTTCTTTTCCATCCCCAGCTTAGTGTGCCATTCGTCCACCACCTGAGAACAAGAAAGTGGGACAGTCTTAACCTTAAAGACTTGACTGTAGGCAGCCAAACAAGTTACGTATTTCGTCCTGTTGTTATGTTGTAATAAGAAAACCAAGGCCACAGCAAGTAAATTTGATGGATGACATCTTCCACTCACCTCAAATCTAATGCGAGCGGGCGACAAACACACAAAAAAAACAAGATTCCTACATTTTCAAAGTTTGACATCATAGACCTTGTTAAACAAGAAATGATACCTATGTATTGTATTGTGACTGCCAATTATTACATGCACAACATCCATTTGTCACTGAAACAACTTTGAAAAATAAAGGTTTTCAGTCAAATGGTTTTGATTTTTTTTGAACGTCACATATAAAAGGAATGAAATACATCACTGCATCAAAGTAAAGACAAAACATTAAATCAGAGCCTTGTCTTGTTTCCTCTCTTCATATCTATCTGCCATCCACGTTCCGGAATGCATGGCTTTGCCCACAAATATCTTTGCCCATTTTCGGCATGTTGACCACTGTCAGAGGGTAACAAAACTTCTCGGGGTTTTTTTTTGGCGACGTCTCAGGGAGTAGCCTAATGGTACAGTATCGTGTGCAGTTTGCAAGAATTGTAGGAATGGTACAGGCATTTTGTCCACAGGAATGGAATGTCCACACTCCACAGGCATTTCTCTAACCCACATCTATGCCCACATTCCTGGAAACCCTTGGGAAGACCTGTCTGTCCTGGATGGCCATACTTTCTGTGACCCCGGGGCTCGTTCACTATACACTCAGGGGAGGAGTGCACTGTATCTGTCTAGACTTAACAGTTACCAAGTCTTCCTCAAAATCATGAAATGATGGCAGTATCATGCAAACAATAACCCTAACGGCAACCACCGTCGCCATGGCAATGTATGTTTTCATTGCCAGTCTTGTCAAAATCAGGCGAAACTTAATGCTGATCATCCATAAGAATTACTTGCTGTCGTCTAAAAGGTAAGGTTGAAGAGCCCACTATACTACGCTAGTTGTACGTAGAATACACAACTTCAAGACAACGACCAGAATCAGATACAATTCGATACGATTCAACACGATACGATACGATCGATGCGGTAAAAAATACCCCAGTGGGAAAAGGGCATGCCCGTAGCCAGGGGTGGTTCGGAAGAACCCCCCCCCAAGGCTCAAAGGTCCACTTTCTGGTCCGCTATTTATGTAAAGGTCCACTTTTTATGTAAAGGTCCAAGATTTTGCTTGAAAAGATGGACTGGAATCGTAGAAAAACTGCTCCCTTTGTCATTGAATAAAAATTAATCTCTGATTTTTTCTTGGAAATTCTCTCAAAAATGCACGAAATGCCATTTTAGAAGAT